TACTGTCATATGCTTCTGGAAACTAAGATTAGGTTTGAGGAGTATGTGCCTAAACTTTGTCAGCTATCATATGGCTATTCAGTTGCTCAACATAAATTATTTTATCTTAATATTCAGGTGCGTGTGATTGCACCATCACTAGAATTGGGATCTTAATTAATGCATTGCACTATCTGTTGTTCAGTTTTACTTTTGCGTCTTACGTGAAAATGTTGTGTGAGTTCACAGCTGACAACTTATTTTGTTTTCACAACAGAAAGCAAGGTTTTAAACGATTGTACACCTTGAAAGGGGGTGTTTCTCATTATCTTGAGAGAGAAGGTTCTGTAGGTTGGGTTGGAAATCTGTTTGTATTTGATGCCCGTCTTTCTCTGCCACCTTCTACTTACAAGCCTGAAGTGGAGATGGAAGCAAGCACAAAGCTAGAGGGCCCCCTGGATAACTCGTTTGCCAAATGCTACATCTGTGGTTCACAAGTCTGTGAGCTGAGGCACCGCAATTGTGCAAACCTTGACTGCAACTTACTTTTCCTGTAAGACTATCATTTCACCAAATAAATATATGGATGGATGCTACTTTAATCACTTATATTTGCCTCATCAACCCTGTGGGGTTGGTATATGATTTGTTTTCCTTCCAAAATTCAGCTAACGAGAGACATTTTGGGCGAAAGACTTAAATTACCTATTTGTATCAACTTTCCTCCAAGTAAGTAGGAGAAAGAACTTGGCGTCTCTAGCCAAGCATCCTTAAGATAAAACTTCTCTACGTATTCACCAGTTTAAAACTTGTCTTACTTTTCTATCTCCATCTCGAGGAGCAGCGGAGGTTGCTCCTATATTACTATGTGCTTTGTGTCGGTTGTATAAACACTAAACAGTACATTGAAAGAAAGTATCTACTCATATTCGTTCTAATACTTGATTGGTTTTATTCAGATGCTGCGCAGGCTGCGTGAAAGATCTAAGGGGATGCTGCTGTTCTCAATGCACATCTGCACGTCGACTTAGGCCGGTGCTGACAGGTCACGAGAGATACCAAAAATGGCATAATTATCGAGATTTCGAGTTGCAAAGCCGGTAACATCTTGATCAGTCATATCTTAGGAAGCTGAAAGTGTACATCTCCAATTATTGGGGAGACCGAATGGCAAATTAAGAGAGGAAACTGACCTCTAGTTTCTCTTTTATTGGTTTAGTCTAATTTTATTTAATTGTCCATCAGTCAGAAAATTAGGTTGTTAAGTACCCCTATAAGTTGAAAATATTAGGCATATGTAATCTTGGGAAAACGGTGTCTTTTACTGATATTATCTGAATTTAATTGGGAAGTATCACTTTGTGTACTGTTATTTGCAAGTATAGGTTAGATTTCTAGTGTTTCATGACATAATCAAACATTCATGTACTCTACCTGCTCTCGGATAAAGAGCTTATGCCTCGTCAGTATTTACTTTCTTATTTATTGTTACATATATGCTGAGGCTATATGATGATGGAAAAATACTGACTTGGAAGCCTTGTTTTCGAATTCAGAAAGGGTCATGAAGTTAATAACTAATTTAACTTCGTATAAGTTTAAATTTTGAAATATGTTTGTTGTTGACAGAAATTAATATTGTCTGAATTAGTAAGTAATTGAGAAAAGAATGCTAAGAGCTCCCTCCAAAAACTTTATGATCAAAGTACTTCCCCTTTAAAATATGACAGGATATGTCCTTTTTTAAGATTTTATTACCTGCCTGCCTTCTTATGACTGGAGGCCCTTCCCTTTTTTTTTTTTTTTTATTTACTTTCTTGTTTTTGTCCTTTTCACTTTCTTTTATTTCTTTCCATTGTATTGTTGTTTTCCCCTTTGTAATAAAATTTTGTACTCTTTTTCAAAAAAAAAAAAATTATTTTCTTTTCTTTTTTTGGTTTTTTTCTTTTTTGTTCTTTCTAGTAATAGTCTCTCACCTTTTTTCACTTTATTTTTTTCTTGTTTTAATTTTTTATTATATTTTGTAATATTTTTCTTAATCTTTTTTTCTAGCCTAGTAAAGTTTCTCATCAAAAATATTTATTTCTCTTTTTCACTTTAAATATTTATCTCTCTTTTTCACTTTCTTTTTATTATTATTATTATTATTATTATTATTATTATTATTATTATTATTATTTCTACTTTATCTTTTTCAGTAAAATGCATTTATCCAAACTTTTGCACTCTCTTTCACTTTTTTCTTTGTTCTTTCTAGTTAACTTAGTGAATCTTAAAATTTATATTGGTCGCTTTTTACAGAATTACTTATCCATCATGATTACTGAGAGATACCTCCTCCCTTTTTAATGTGTTTTTTATACTTTTTATTTTATATTATATTAGAGATGGTTTTATTTTATAATTTCCAAATCAAATTTGGGAGAATTACACAAAAATACAGTCCACTTATATACATTGCAGCAGAATAACCCAGTTTGCAAATCTGTAGCCCATTAAAAGTAGGCCAAAGTTCGAAAAATGAGCATTTTTGGACTGATAGGCCAAATTTTATTGTGGTTCACCAGTAGCAAAGGATGAAACAAAAACTGAGAAAAATAAGGACATAAGAGACGAAGTCGCCAGAGATGTTCTTTTAGTCAAGATCTGATAGTTTTAGGTCAAAATCTGATATTTTTTGGACTGATAGGCCAAATTTTATTGTGGTTTATTAACCTCTTTTTGTCAATTAACTCACAAATCGAAACCTAATTGACATAGAATGTGAGGATTGAAGTGCTCTTGTACACATCTGTACAGAGCACAAAAATTGATGGGATGTTGTAGTATTTGTTTTTGTTTCTTCAATTGAGTGAAAGCAATTAACACGAGTGTGTACAAAATAATTCTGTAATTTTTAGGGAGAAAGAAGAGAGAGGCGAGTGGAGAAAGATTGAGTATGCTGGGAAAGAAGAAAGAAGAAGAAAAAAAAACTAGAAGTGTGTCTTTAATAATGGGCTAAATGAAAAGTTTCTTTCAAATACGGCCTGGGCCAAACCGGGTAAAGATTTCAAACCTAGGCCACTATTAGTTGGGATGCTGAGCCAAGTAATAAGAGCCGTAATTCTTCTAATAAATTTTAGGGTTTTTAAAATAAAAAATTATCTCAACTTTTTATATATATCATTAAATAGTAATATATTGTGAATACAGTTTCACACACCACAACCTCAATATACCATGATTCACCAATAATCACTGTATTCCATGATTCAACTATAATCATGGTATACTAGGTATATCAAGAATATTATAAATACTATTTCATATCACTAATCATAGTATACCATATGTTGTGTAGTATACCAAAATTGTTAGAAATATCATTTAACAGTAATCATGATATACTGTATAGTATATCAAGACTAGGGGTGGCAAAATGGGTAAAACAAAATAAGTAACCACTCATATTATCCGTTAAAATATGGTTGGATAATGAACATTTTAAAAACGGATCAAATACGGATATATTCATATTTTAAATGGATAACCACCAGTTATTTATGGGTAATAAAGTCAAAACCTCCCCCAAAAGCATTTTCACCCTTTTACCCCAAAAGCACACAACAGGAGCAAATGTATAATTCATTAGGCACATTGTTCTATTGAAATTGATTATAATAAAATGTGTGAATCATGTCAAAAGATAATGGATAATGTTATTGACCAACGTAATTAAAATTTCGTAGTGAATAACTTTTGTTAAGAGTGTTTAGCGCGAAGATATAATTATCTTTTTAACTGAACTTTTGAATTTTTATTAATATCACCAACCATTAGTAGTTGGTGGAGATGCAATATTAGCTACGATTTCGAATGAATTAGTATTTGTATTAGAAAACCCATTAAAACATATAATTATTTAATTGTGAACTCAGTAACTAAAATAAGCTACGATTAAGCAGGTTCAAAACCTATAAGTTTCAAATCATGGCTCCGCCCCTGTCAATAATCCTAAGGTTTGTCTAAGGTCGTGTTGTTTTATCTCTTTCAAACTTGCTCGACTTTTTTTTTTATTTTACACCAAATTATTAGTGTGTCCTTGAGCCGAGGGTCTCCGAAAATAGTCTTTCTACCTTCACGAGGTAAGGGTAAGGTATGCGCATACACTATCCTTCCCAGACCTCACTCGTGAGATTATACAGGGTATGTTTTTGTTGTTGTTTGTTGTACCAAATTATTATTGCAATATTTAAGAAGAAAAAAGAGTAATTAATTGTACTCTTAATTATGTAGTGTACTTTTTAGATAGTATTTTTCCGTTAATGCGGGGGTTCAATAGTAGAGTGGTATAGGAATGAATTTTGTACATGTAGTTGATGGCTGTCAATTGTATCTTCCTCCATTTTGCTTGATGATCAACTAGGTCACTGAACTGTTGAGGCTAATGTTAAGCCATGAACGGATAATACGGTTAACCGTTTTATTCGCCGGTTAACCCGATTTTTCCGTATTAAATATGGTTCGGGTCGGAAATTTTACCCGTTTTTGCATTACTCGTTTTTTACCCGAACCGTATCCGACCCGACCCGACCCGCCCGTTTGCCACCCCTAATCAAAACTATTCAAAATATCATTTAACATAAATAAAGTACGTTAAAGGTTAGATATACCCTTCTACAATCCAAAATTATTTAAATTACCTTATGTTTCACTATCAATATATTTGAAACCCTAGCGTTATACTTTGGTTCAAAAATGCCCTTAATTTGGACAGAATGACATGTGGCCAGTCGGGAACCAAATTTTAAATATCCGATTCAATTAAAAATTACTCGACCCAAATTGACCCACTTAAAAAATCCTAAATGAATTTAACCCTTATTTCGTCGCTCCCGCTAGCTACGTTTCTCATCCCCCCCCCCCCCCGAACCCAACCCACCCACCCATATTATTTATGTGTTTCAGTGTCTTTTTTCCAATTAAAAAAAACAAGAAACAGATTCTGACGGGTTCGGTCAGGTAATGGTAGTAGATCATGATTCAACTGTTGGTATACCGTAGAGTATACCATGATTCAACTGTAATCATGGTATACTATATAATATACCAAGAAAAAGCAAAATAGCATTTATCATAAACAAAGTATACCATGATTCAACAGTAATCAGAGTGTACTGTGTAGTGTTACCAAGAATATTAGGAATATTAGGAAGGTTTCGGCATATTTTGGCGAAAATTGGAAAGTTGAAGGTTTGGAAGGTTGCGAGATTTGACCGGGAGTTGACTTTGTTGATATCGGGTTCGGATTTTGATTCCAGGAGTTGGTATAGCTCCGTTCTGTCATTTGAAACTTGCATGCGAAATTTGACATCATTCCGGGTTGATTTGATATGATTCGGCGAGAGTTGTAGAAGTTGAATGGTGGTCTTGGTACCAAGATTTGGTGTATCGATTCATCTCGCCGTGCAGCCAAACAGCCAGGGGGAGTTCTGTTCCTAGTCAAGGACAAAACAGTAAAGAATCTCAGAGGGCCAACATTGTCAGTGAAGCAGATGATGGAAAGAGGAACTGTTATGCTGTTGAATCTAAATGTACATCCAGGAGGGAGAAACGGAACTACATAAAGGGATTTGTACCATACAAAAGATGTTTAGCAGAGAGGGATGGTATGTCATCGGGGGTTGGTGCTGAAGAAAGAGAAGTACAAAGAGCCCGAGTGTGCTCCTAGTGCTTTCTGTTGTTAATGTACATCCATTAACATACATGACTAGCACAAACTTTAATCACAAAAATGCCATGTCCACCAAAAAATCGTTACAGAGAGAGCACCCGCACCCTAAGCGGTAGGGAAAATTGAGAATTAGCCAAAAGGAAGGGCTTTCTCCTCCAAGCCACGAGAAGAGGCCGTCTTCTCAGAGTTTATGGTACAAAAAAAGATCCATACAAACAAATAATACTATAATTAAGAAAAGCTGTGCGCTGCCTAATTTTGAGTCCAGATTAATTTTCCTTGTTGAGCAGAAATTGGTGACACATTCTGATAAATGTTATTATGGACCTTGGAGATGAGTCTTGATTATCAGGGATGCATGCCTACATCATTGTCTACCTGTTATTCGGCGAAGTTCAGATCGAGGCTTAGCGACTTCAACAAATATTACCCTGCCATCCAGAAACTGAAAAGGGCAATTTGTTATGATATACTCAACAAACAAGAATGACAAACACAAGGAAGGTAGCATCGCAAATGAGGATACAAGTGCATTTGCCATTAGGATATATTCAAATTGTTGAATAGTCCTAATTGATAGTTTGAAATTCGGACATATCACTAGCAATGGAATGAAGTCAATAACTCTGAGCCGCCCCTGAAGTTACCAAAAATTATCACAAAAAAGACTCAGCAAAAAGATTGACATGTTACCAGAGCTTATGACATGGCCAACTCACTTCTTTCAATATCTTTAGTATACTACCCTAGACAGGGGTAGTGTATAAAGAACTTAGTTTTATTCTAAAAAGAAAATATCACTGATGCTATTTTATTGAAAATCAATTGCCATACAGTATCATGTGACATAAAGATGACTTGCTTCACTGATGACCAGTAGCTGATCTTCCACGCACACAGAGGAAAAGTCCTCTTCAATAACGAATCCCTAACCATGCCATCTTTTATCACAACTTTATTTACTTTTACGCCATATTTTCCAACTTGTACAAAGAAAATATTTCATTGACGGCAAACTCGCGAAAAAGACCTCTTTCTGCTAATGTAGTAGGATTGTTATCTATTCTGAAGAACTTAATAGTGTTCATTTATCAATCTATCAAGCAATAAATGACGGAAAGCCAGATGAAAATTCGCTAAACCCGCACCAAGATCCGTATCTAATGTCTGAACTTGTCAGGCATCCACTTGACAAATAAGTCACCAACCTTATTTTTTGTTTACTGTGTAATCCCCATTAGACATCTATTTTCGACCCCAAAAAGATGTAATACATATTTTTTTTTATAAAGCAATAAATTTTATTGAACAAAATTGGGCCGTGTACAAGGGGTATACCGAAAAGTAGAGACCTACATAAAACTATGATTCTCTACGAATAACATCCAATCATCATCTATAAAAGAGGAACTTCATGGGTGCACATATATTGACCTCAAAGTAATTACTGATCGGGGGACTATGTACCGTAGTTGTAAGGAAAAATACATAATTTGCGCCTTGAAGTTGTCTCAGAAAGTCAGTTACACACTTAAATTTTGGGGGCGATCTTTTACCCCCTATTCTTGTTTGAAGTGGAGCTAACACCCCCTTGAGAAGCAATGCCTAGATTTTAAAAGGCCAGTGTGTTACACATGCAGAAACGTAATTTTCTCTTATATCAATTTTTTTCACTATTTTTTTCTTCTTCCTCTCGCACTTTTTCAGAAAATCATGTAGGATTACTATTTTTTCTATTTCAATTGAAACCTACAAAACTTTCAAAAAGAATTATCTGTTTATCACTCTGTTAATTACTCACACAGTGGGCTTTGATTTGTTTGAGTTCTTGCTTCAGTAAAATGCAAACGGCAGTTTGGCGACGTTTAAGAGGAAAGGACACCAGCGGACGGTGGAAGATGGTGAAGGGGGCGGAGGAGGAGATGATGTTTGATGGTGAAAGAAGGCAATGCATCAAAAATGAATAGGAGCTAAAGGGTCTCAGGAGTTCTTCTTCACTGAAAAAAATAAGGTCGCTGGAGTTTGATTTTCTGGCCAGTGGACACTCGATAAAGCTAAAATCAAGCAATTATTCTGTTTCAGGACTTGGGGGCAATTATCTTAGGCTGATTTTCATCTTGAACCATACAAACCCAAAAAAAATAGATCATATAAATCAAGCACATTCCTCAAATACACAGAGAAAGCTTCTTTAAGAAAAATACACACACCCAGTTTCAATGAAAATTTCCAGCACATGAATCTTACGCTCCATCAGCTCTTTCTCCATATAAATGATAACTTTGGGGCTTGCAAAAAGAGATCCATTTTTCAAAAAAGAAAAGTTTGAAACTTTGTGAGAAAAAGTGTCCAGAAACAAAGAAGAAAGGGCAGCCTGATGCACAAGGCATCCCACACTCACGTAGGCTCCAGGGAAGGGGCGTGCCCCCTTATGCAAGCAGTAGTGCCTGCTTCCACGTTAACTGACAAAGAGAAAGGTTTGGGTCTTATTTCTTTCTCTTTTCTCATCTTTTTTTTACTTTTTAATAGTTGGAAAAATAATAAATGGACCCTATCTTCCACTTGTCATATTTTAAATGGTCCTAGTTGCCACAGAAATTTATCATTTACGCGTATTTATAGCTTTTCACGTGCCTGATGTGGGTGAAAATCACATTTTTTTTGCCGTGTCATCACTTAAGAGGGTCATAGTTCCACTTCAAACAAGAATAGGGAGGTAAAAGGTCGTTTGCAAAGTTTAAGTGTATAATTGACTTTTTGGGATAACTTCAAGGTGCAACTTATGCATTTTCCCAAGATTTAATCCAAGCTTGTGTCTCATAATTTATGCCCTTGTTCAAAGGCTAAATATCAGGTGTGTGAAAGAGCATCAAAAAGGACTTGCACAAAGTAGTAGACTGTTTGAGACTGACACCAACTTGTTTGGGATTTTGGCATAGTAGTAGTCTTTGTTGAAGAGTGTTTTGAGGGCCATAAGTCTCTTTTAAGTTTGCAATATCTTAGAAGGGTTTTCGGTGTTTGAGAACTTGGAGATAAAGAGAATGTTCTATTACAAATATTTGTTACCTTTGACAATAAAAATGATAGGAATAATTATAAGGAAAAGTTCCACATTTGTCCCTGAACTACGCAAAATGGTCTAGATTTATCCTCAGTTAATAGTTCAGGTCAAATATAACCCTGCCGCTACCAAAATGGGCTAAATTTTCCTCTTGGTCCAAATGGTAAATCATTATAATCTCTAATGACATATTTTATCGGGAGAAATTCAAAAATAGCCAGATTTACAAGTGGTCGTTCAAAAATAGCCCAGTTTCAAAAGTAATCGAAATTTAGCCACTTTTCATGTAAAGATAAATCTGAGCGAAAACACTGTTCAAAACCCGGAAAATACGCCACTATATTATGCTGGAGTTCCAGCATAAGTATACTTGAACTCCAGCATATTATACTGGAGTTCCAGGATAAGTATGCTGGAACTCCAGCATAATATGATGGAGTTCCAGCATAAGTACACTAGAACTCCAGCATAATATACTGGAGTTCCAGCAAAGTATAATGGTCCAGTATAATATGCTGGAAGTTCATACACAAGTGCTCGAATCTCCAATATATTATGCTGGAACTTTCCGTATGTTGGAGTTCCAGCATAATATGCTGGAAGTTCATACACAGGTGCACCGAACTCCAGTATATTATGCTGGACCGGTCTCTGTTGCAGCAAAATAGTGGCTATTTTTTATTGACCTGGTAAAACGCTGGCTATTTTTGACTGACCAGTCCGAAAATTGGCTAGACCGTGCTATTTCTCCTAATTCTGCCACATGGCTCAATTAAAACTCACCCCTTTTTACCAGCCCCTTCCCTGTATATCCATCCTTGTTTGACCCGATTTAATTTTGTAAAAAGTCAAATTGATGCTAGAACCTTACTCCTTACCTCGATTTCAAAAGAAAGACAAAAGAGTGCACATCAAATACAACAACAACCCAGTATAATCCCACAAGTGGAGTCTGGGGAGGGTAGAGTGTGCGCAGGCCTTACCCCTACCTTTAAGAAAGCAGAGAGGATGTTTCCGGAAGACCTTCGGCTCAGGAAGGGAAAAGGGGAGGGGCAATAACAAACAAGCCGATATGACAACCGAAGCGAAAATACAAAACTAGCAATAGGTAATGCAATCAGAAAACCGAAACAAAGACAACAACAAGTAGTAACAGAAGTCTAGGGATACGAAAAAACACCAAGTGGTGTATCAAAGCTACTATTACAAACAAGGACAACACTCGGCTACCTAACCCTTAACCTTTATTCTGAACCTCCACCCTTTCCTATCCATAGTTATGTCCTCAGTAAGCTAGAGCAACGTCATATCTTGCCTAATTACCTCTCCCCAATACTTCTTAGGTCTGCCTCTACCTCTTCGTTGGCCCTCCAATGCCAGCCTCTTACACCTCTTCACTGGAGCATCAATACCTCTCCTCTTCACATGCCCGAACCATCTAAGTCTCGCCTCCCACATCTTGTCCTCCGCAGGGGCCACACCCACCTTGTCCCTAATAACTTCATTTCTAATTTTATCTAACCTGGTATGCCCGCACATCCACCTCAACATCCTCATCTTAGCCACCTTCATCTTATGGACATGAGAGTTCTTGACTGGCCAACACTCCACCCCATACAACATAGTTGGTCTGACCACCGCTCTATAGAACTTCCCTTTAAGTTTCGGTGGCACATTCGGAGTGCAACATCAAATGCTTTCCATAAATTTACTACTACTTACTTTCAATGAACCTTTGCTATATTTCAAAAGCAAAACAAGGTCGTACTAAACAATAGTGTTAGTTACTTACGAGTTTTTCATTGGGGCATCCTGTGGGCCGACTCCGACGCGCATAATCTTTGTTTTTCTTAACATGATTCATTTGACGACTTAGAAAAGATTTTACACTATATGCCAATAGATTCTTTTGAGCTGAGGGTCTATCGGAAGTAGCCTCTCTACCTTCACAAGGTAAAGTAAAAGTCTACCCATACCACACTTGTGGGATTATACTGGTTTTTGTTGTTGTTGTTGTATGACAATATATTCTTTAGTGAACAATATCTTCTATGACAAAGTTACATTCTATTTAGGTAAGGAGGAATGCTGGTTTAAGACTAGAATTACCTTGCCATGCATTCCCTGAATTGCTTTCTGTGATTCCTCCTCCGTAGCATAACGAAGGAAAGCAAATCCTCTTGGTCTGTTGGCAATTTTGTCCATCACCAAATTCACTGCAAATAGATATGTTTTAGGAATTTTAATAAATTAATATGCTAGTTGCAAGTTTTACTCTATTATGAGTATTCAACTGTGGTAACGTTTACCAACTTCATTGTACGGTACAATTGAGTTGGCAGAGAGTACAACAGCAACAATTTCATAGCAAAGGTACAACAAAGTCAGCACAGAGTAGAATAGGAGAGCAATTTCATTGCAAGGTACAGCAAAGTAAGCAGACGGTACAACAGCAAGATTTGGTATATGATGAGTGGTAACTTGGAATAGAAAAGAAGGGATATTTTCACCTTCCAGGAGCTCCCCGAAGTCGTTGAAGGCATTTTTTAAGCTCTCTTGAGTTGTACGAAATGAGAGTCCTACAAAATGAAATTATTTCAACAAAAAAGTAAAAATGGGAACAAAAAATGTACAGTAAAAAAGAACTGACCACTGACGAAGAGTTTGGTAGAGGGATTGAAGTTGAAGCGAGTCCTTGAGGAAGAAGACTGAGGATAACGAGATACAATTTGGAAATAACGAGTTAGGGGCTGAATTGATAACGACGACGAAGAAGAAGAAGAAGAGGAGAAATGTTGAGTGTGAATTATTGGGCGACAAGGAAAAAGATATTTTGATACTTTTCTAATGGAAGACGACAGTGGTAGCGGTGCATACACATTGAACACTGCCACCATTTTTCTCAAACAATGAAAATGGATAATGGGTCACCAAATACGCTTACTACCGTATACGAGTCACCCAAAATATGAGTTTTACTAGCAACTACTTACTAATTATATCAATATCTATTTATATTTATATCTAGGCAGAATACATAGACAGACACTTAAACTATCAAAGAAAATTCACTTGAACACCTCAACTAAGACATTTTCCACCTTAACACTTTTACTATACTTTTACTGCATCAGTTTAACACGTCCGACTGACATGGCAAATAACGTGAATATCACTGCATTTGAGCGCGTGAATGGCAGAAATATGCTGACGAAAAGCGTATTAACGGTACAATAAACGGTAACATCCCTCCTTCCTCCAATAATATAATTAGACCCTCCTCCCTCTTACTAGCTCTAATTCTTCACCTTTCCTTCAAAATCCAGCCCTATTTCTTCATCTTTTTTTTGATTTTGTTTAAAATTTTTATTTTTCTCTCCAAATTGTGTTCGAATCTTGGCTTAATAAGCTCTCTATTATTGTCTCTCAAAGCAAGAGTCGATTCATGTCGGTGTGGTCCTGAATGTCAATTGAAAACATCATGGACTCCATCTAATCCTGGAAGGAGGTTCTATGGATGCAAAATTAAAAAGGTAAGTGATAATTAACTACAATTAATTACTTTTTAGTCCTGTTATTTTTGGGCTAATTTAGTTCATGGAAAATATATACATCTCCAAACCACGGTTAAACTCAACAAGAACTCTTTCCCAATTCCATTTGCACAAGCTAAACTGCCAGGACTGAATCCTTCTATCCAAATCAAGCTAAGCAAGCTATCAAAACTCAAGAGCTTTGCTGCACAATACTTGTAAGGGCTCATTATCTCGAACGCATACGAAAAATTAATCATATCCTTACCATACCGATTCGTTCTACTATCAAGTTATCCCATCTATCTAATTTCCCTTCTGATTCATCATCAACTTGATATTCCNCTGTTATTTTTTGGGCTAATTTTAGTTTGAATGAATTTTTTTGAAGGACAAAGGTGGATGTAATTATTTTAAGTGGGTTGATGACGAGTTTCCTAGCCAAGCCAATAGGGTTATTTGGGGTTTACTGAACAGGGTCAAAGCTTTTGAAGAAGAAAGGGCTCGAGCAAGAACAAGGAGGAAGAAATTGGCTTCTATTACAGTCTTGATGCTGATTTGGGTTTGCTACTGTGTCGTTAGTCATTGAAGTTGCTGTAATTTTACTGGTGGTTGAAGTATTTTGTGGGCAGTTTGTAGTGGTGGTAGATATATTTTGGTTGTATCTAGTTTGTATTCGATGTAATTGTGGCCTGTGGCATTACTTCGGTGAAATGAAACAACTTCTGCAGTTCGATGTGTATTGGAAAATTTTTATGCAATTGGTTATGCCTAGGTGAATTTCTGCAGTTTTTATGTATTGGTTCAATTTTTCCGGAGCCTCAACTGAATGCATACAAAACTGAATGTATTTTTCTGCAGTTTGATGTTAGGCATGCCTTGATGTTACTAGCTAAAGTGTTGAAACAGAGGCATTTAAATTGCATTAAACATAATGCTACCAACGCATTTAAATTGCATTCCAGCTAAAGTGTTTTCAACAATTCCAAACAACTAGCTTTCAAGCTAAAGTGTTTTCAACAATTCCAAACAACATTCCAGCTAAACTGACCCAAAAAAGATAAAATAATCAATCCAAGTTTGGATACTTAACAAAATACATGAACTGAAATCCAAAATAGCACAATCCTAACACAACTATGGCGCTGGAGTGGCTGGACTTGCAACTGAAGAGGTAGTTGTTGAAGTTCCAATTTGGCTTCTCTTGTTTGCACTTAGTTGTTGTAGCTGGGAAGTCGTTATAGCATTTCTGCCTTTAAACTTAAGGCCAGGAGGTTTAAATCCAAGATCGATATTGACTGCACTGGTATCCTTTACAACCTTGGTCCCATATGATACAACTCTTTCACCCGAACTACCTGGCTGAAATTGACATAAAAGGCACATAGATCAGTTTTAACAAATGGTAGTAATAATAAAATAAAGTTGTAAATAGACAGTCCTTACATTAATGATAGTCATTCCAGTTGTAGGGTTGGTGTAACATCCAAAACCAACATTTCTTGACCTCTTATGTCCATCAGATGGTGTTGCAGATTCAGCACATCTTCCTCTTGTTCTTTTAACCCCAACAGTAAGTTTTCTAGGAGCAGTTGGTGGAGGTGCATTTCGAAATGCACCCCTGCCAAAACTAGTGTTGTTTCCCCTTCCTCTGCCACTGGTTGTGCTTGTATTAGCACTCTTTCCCCTTCCTCTGCCACTGCCCCTATTAGTTACTGTAGATTCTTGAGTTGCTTGACTTCCTTGGCTTTGTTGAATTGCTTGAGTAGACTCTCCCATTTCACCCTAAAATTCCAGAAAGTACTTATATATGTTGGCATTTTAAGTGAATAAAAAGGTGAGAAATATTACAACATACCATTGATTGGCATGTAGACTTGTTATGGCCTCCTTGATGACATTTAGAACATGTCATCTTAACTCCTTGCTTAGAGAGCTTGCCATACTTCTTTTTATTAGGCTCATTCTTTGCCTTTCTTCTTTTCTTTTGGGGCCTGGCTGGCATTGGCTTTGGTGCAGGAGGCTCAATTACCATGTTATTAGTGTCAGGCCACATCTTCATGTTGGGGATTGGTTCAAGAAAGTATTGGTATGCCTTGAGAAAGGTCTCCTTCCTATACCAGTGATCCACATAATTGTATGGTTCTTCTTCTTGGTGATAGATTGCACATATTGCATGCGCACAAGGGATCCCTCTTAACTGCCAGGATCTACAAGTACATGTTCTTCTCCTCAAGTTCACTATGTATCTGTATTCATACTCATCAACCTCAAACCCATCAGTTCCAAACCACAAAACTTTGCATTTTCTAGACAACTCCTTATTTTCTTCTAGAATCACCCTTGCCATAGGAGAAATGTCTGTAATCCAAGTCTCTGCAAATTGTATCATATCAACATGTCTCCTAACTACTTTATGTCTAATGTCCTCTAACATGGTAATAATAGACTTGTTCCTTGGTGCTAATATCCAAGAATTAAAGGTCTCACACATATTATTTTCTACAATATCACATTTGAAGTGTTCAAGGAAAAAAGCTCTACACCAATACTCTTTGTTATACTTCAATAAGCTTTCACATATACCTTTTCCAAGCTTTCCCAAAGCAGCCAGTTCTTCTTTCAACTTCACCTCAAAGCTAGCCTTAGAACACCTCCAGAATTGCTTTCTCATCTCCTCACCTCTCCAAGTTTTTGACCAGTTAGACCATATATGCCTAGCACATATTCGATGCTCAACATTTGGTAGTAACTCTTGAATGCTTGGTACCAAACCCTAAAAACCAACAATGAATCATACAGAAATCAGAAAGCTAAAACAGATATAAGAAAATTAAAACAGAAAACAGAAAACTAATGAGAAGCATTTGACTGATGAAGTCAGAAATTAGAAAGCTATAGCAGAAATCAAAAAACTAAAACAGAAAAACAGAACACTAAATTCAGTTATAACAGAAATAGAAATCAAAGTAGAACTATAACAGANAACAATTCACCCTTACATGCTCCTTTTAGAAAACACCCATCAAAACCAATGATCTTCCTGCATCCTTCCAACCAATCCTTCTTCAATGCATCAAAGCAGACATAGAAATATTTAAACAGATTCTTTCCAGGCTCTGAATTTCTGTCAGTTTTGACCAAGCAAGTACTACCAGGATTGGTTTGTTTAATTATATCAGCATAGTCACATAATCTAGCAAACTCCATCTTCCAATCCCCCATAAACTTCCTAAGCACTATCTGTTTTGCCCTGCAACAGATGGTTCTACCAACATATAAACCTAATTTGTCTCTAACCAATTCTTGTATTTCCCAGATCCTAATATAGGGCTGAGATGTGATCCTATCTCTGAATTTTTCAGCAATATACTTAGAATTACAAAGCTTGTTTTTGTTCACTGGAGTGCACTTGTGAATAGGATGATACTTCTTAACTATAAAATTTCCTAAATCCCTGTCAAGACTTGCAAATAACTCCCACTAGTAAATCTTTGATTTACATTTCACCCTCACCCTATTTGCCTCATTAGGTCTGAGTTTCAGTTGTGCATGGTATTCAATAGCATAGTCAGTCACTGCCTTCCTAAATTGTTTGACATTCTCAAATATCATGCCAAGTTCAAAAATAGCCATAACACAATCTGGATCATATCTTAACTTTGTACTCTTCCTTCTACTTGGCAAATCAACACCAATTTCAGCTTCCACATCTAGCTCATCATCAGAATCATCACTACCTATATCAGAACTATCAACATAGTCCTCATCCCCACCTAATTTACCATCATATTTGTCTGCCTTGTTCTTGCCAATGTCTTCAAAGTCTCTATCTATTTTTCCTTCTCCTAGAGGTACTTCTACATGAACAGTTGGTTTTTTCCTTCTTCTAGCCTTTAGCTTGGTTCTCTTTGCATTCCTAACAGCTATCAACTCTTCATCAGCATCACTATCATCTTCATCTGGTACAACATCAAACTCTGAGTCACTACTACTGTCCAGATCTGAAATAGCACCATCAAGGTTTGTAACATCATCTTCCCTCACTTCAGTTTCAGCAGCAACATCTTCCTTAATTTCAGTTTCAGAAGCAACCTCTTACCTCACTTCACTTTCAGCAGCAACATTTTCCCTAATTTCAGTTTCAGCAGCAACCTCTTCCCTCACTTCACTTTCATCAACAACATTTTCCCTAATTTCAGTTTCAGCAGCAGCCTCTTCCCTCACTTCACTTTCATCAACAACATTTTCGCTAATTTCAGTTTCGGCAACAACTTCTTCCCTCTCTTCTGGACCACCAATAAGTCTAGTGGGAGGCACATCATCCACTACCTCAGGGTCTAGAACAATATGTTGAATATACAAATGTAACTCGTCTCCATTTTCAAGGTTAGATACAATATTCAATAATTGTGCATCACTGGCCACATAGACAAAATTCTTAA